CTTGGATCCACTCTGTCGTTTCAAAATGCCTACCTTTCATCGACCTTTTGAGCCGGGACTTTGTCTTGGTGTAACTTCCAATCGGTTGCGATCACTTGTCGGACCCGATTGGCCCTTCGTTTGAGTTTCTTGAGGACTTCCACGTAAAACTTGGCGTTGACGGTTTATCCAGGATTAACAAATTCATGGTGGACGACGCCTTTGATGTCAAGAATGGCAATGAATGCTCATTCTTCCGGTCTACATCAGCGACCTCTTCTCGGCCCTCTAAAAAGGCCTGGTGCCACCGCGACACACCACTCCTTGCTAAAGCAACATCTGGGTAAGGAGTAAGCCTACTTGATCATATCAGACATCTTTTTCACAGATTTTCCAAGTTTCACACTGAATTTAATCGAGTAAAATGTTTGTTCTGACTCTCCAGGTGCTCTTAGACAACTGTCGCGGCGGAATAAATCAGTCCTATTACTTTCCGGACATACCCTGTATACAGACAGGCAAACAAACGGACGGAGATACTTTCATGGCTAAATCAGCTCAGCGCGTCAGGCAGTTCATTTATATATATATTATATAGGGTTTCCGTATCTGAGTATTTCAAATATCTGTGCACACTCTGTTTATGGTAAAAAGATTTTAAATTGTAATAGATTATAAAAAGACTAAGTTGGTAATGCATCGTTATTTGGACGAGATTTCAACGAAAGAAGACATAAACAATATCATTAAAAAATTACTTTTTCAAGTGCTTTGAGGATTAAAAAAGTAGGTTTTCATAAACATACATATAAACACATTCTTCAAAAATTCAAAATTCGCTATACTTTTTGAGCAAACTTAATATTACTCCAGATAACTATTTCTTCTTGATAACTATGTCACCCTTAATAATTTGCACGTGATGGTCATCACTTTCATGTCTAAGATAGCATTCCGAGTCTAGTTTTTTCCTAAGAAATAGGGTAAACGATTGGGCAGCATTTTGCCGTTCATTGTCGTTCTCTGTAAAGCCTTTTGAACTCTCTCTTCAGTTTTTAAGTACTCGATTATTAGCTTTATATATATTGGGAAGAGAAGTAATGTAGTTAACCTCTACAACGTCTCTCAGCAAAAATTCGATCATTTTCAAGAATTGGAGAGATTGTAAATGCCTTCTGGCATCCACTGTGGTGAAAAGAACACACTGATTATTCAAGCTAAACGAACTCAAACTCATCGGAACTAGCTTATCTAATTATTGTGACCACATATCGGCAGAAGTCTTATTGGGGCAAATGTACTATGGAGAGGAATACATATTTTACGATTATTTTATCATATTTAGAAATCATTTCTTTGTTGTTTGACAAAGTTATTTGGCTGTCAAAAGCTGAATACAAGGGTGCTTCAAAAAAATTGTTTGAATTTTTTTTTTCAACTTTTGAAATGTTGGGATTAATAAAACAAAAATCCTCCCTCAAACCATAGCCAGCATAACTCTAAGGGGTCGCTATTTTTTGTTTTTTTATGTTCCCCTTATTTAACATAGGAAGATTCGTTCTATCATTCAAACTAAAATTTCACCAATTAATTTTCGTTTCACAAAAACCGTCACTGTCACATATTCCAAAAGTTGACTTCTCAAACTTTCAAAATTTCTGCGACAAAGTTTGATTATCTCAATTAGACGATTAAACGTAGTGATTTAAAATTTGGAATTTTTTCAAGAAAAATAAAAAAAGTTTCTGAGGATAATAATTATTTGGATCAAGGAAAATAAGTGTAACAGAATATTGAAACCTTCTTTAATATTAATTAAAATTGACGAAAGGCATCGTTCAAAAAATATCACTGGGCCGAATGTCACAAGAAAAATCCAGCAACCGACTATAAGACGAGTATACAGTAGGGTGCATCAAAAAAAAGTTTTAAAATGTTTTCTACTCTTACTCCCGCGAATTTCGGAAGAATAACAATCAAAAATTCAAAGACGATACCTGCATGATTTGAATGAATGAGACTGGAAGGATTTGCATTGTTTATTCCCTAAAACATATTTAACTCATTCTCATTAGAAAACATTATAAGCGTAAGCTATATATAAAATCAAGGCAACATTAGACACTTTAAATACAATAAATATATTAAGCCTTTAAATTATTTTTTCTTTCTCTGCACTGCACTCTCTCTGATCGCCTCTTCGCTACAAGAAGTGAAAGTAAATTGGAGAATTGAAAAGTAGGCCTCCGTGTTAAATCAAGGATGTAACATTCTTCATAATACTATCTGCAAGTGCAAGCAGCTGATTTCCACTTCTTTTCCACATTTCCACATTTTCGCTTTAAATCGCTCTCCAATTAATTGAGCAATAAAAGCATTAAGACGAGCTACTCACTGACAAATGCAATAAATTACGGATTGAGAGTTCCGAGAAATTGGAAAATATTGAACTTCCAATTAATAAGCGCCGCAATCACATTAAAATGAATGAAACGGATGATTAACAGGCGGCAGGAGAGCAACGAAGCAGCCGGCACAGCACGGTATAAGCAGGCTGTGCACACTGATACGTATGTATGTATGTAAGCACTTTGCTCAGAGGACAATCGAATTATGCGCTGGGAAACGGGGGACTTTCCAACCGGCCGCCAACCTGTGACACATGCGATCATTTCGTGTTTTTTAAGTGTATTTGTGTGTATGTAGGTGTGCATGTGGCTATGCCATTGCCTCAGCGGTGTGGCGGCAGCGACCGTTTTATGAGAGGCTTTATATACTTGGCACACAATGCCTGCGAAAGTGTACGTGAAATTAATGCAACGACAACAACAACAACGTAATTTAACACATAAATTTACCGTTGTATTTTGCTGCATTAAACTTGCAATAAAGTTAATGAGATTCGACGAAAGCTGCAAAAGGGAGTGCAAAAGAAAACTCAGCATTCAATATGAAAGTGGCTGTGTATTTGCTTGTTGTTGTTTTTGTGACACTCATATACACGATTATTTAATAAAAAAAAAAACATAATTTTCCCCTGTTTGCTTTTGTTGCTCGCTTTTTTGTTTCAATAAATATGGAAGTTTTTGTAGTTTTTGTAGGCAATTTTTTGTGTTTTTTGTATTTAAATCCGTTATTGGCTGTTGCTAAGAGCCATAGAGCATAAAGAAGGAAAAAACTGTGCCAAGTGTTTTTAATATACAGAATGCTAATTTACGAAAGCACCGACCGCAAGCAAAGCAAAAATGGTAAAAGTTATACAAACAACATCAACAACAACCATAATTAAAGACTTGCTGAAGCTGCAAAGAGTGCAGAGTTAGCCTTTAGTGATTGAAATCAGTGTGATGTAGTTGTGTTGTATTTTTTCTGATGTAAACTGGATGAGCGTTATTCAGAGAAATTTATTTAAATTCGGGCTTAATTTTGGACTTAAGTAAAATTTGGTACTATAGAATCTTATATACATATTTGTACAGATTTTATAATGCTTGATGAAACAGATTTTAAGATAAATTCAAAACAAAACAAATCGTCAACTTCGGTTGCCGAGAAGCTAAAGTACCCTTCAAAAATACAAAAATTCCTTACAAAAACTGAATTCTGATCTTTCAGTTCATATGGCAGCTACATGCTATAGTGACCAATCCTGTATCACGATTCGAAAACGTATTCTATTCGAAATTCCATATTGTCATTATTCGAAAGTTCGAGTATTTAACTCGAAAACGATCAACCAAAAAAAAAAAAAGTGTGCCATAGTTGCTCCTTATGCGCCGACTGCGGTATAAACTCAGTGTCGAAATTATATCAAATGATCATATTTGAGTAATGCCGGTGGTTAATTTAGCAGATAAATATTCATAAAACAGGGGTAATCAAGCGATTCTTCTATAGGGCAGCATGACAGCGATATCAACAAATACAGCAACATATATCTCGGAGGGTTAAAAAATACTTCTGCCCAGAACGGTGTTTCTTCTGAACAAAGTAAACTTCGCTCCAGCTAAGGCTAACCGACCCAGCAGTGAATGAGTGACTCATTAATATGATTTTAGAGATGAATAGTTTCGTTGCTTACTGTCTGTAACTTCTATTTTGACATAGTCCATTCTGATCGCATGCGCATTTCGGGACCGGTAACACGAGTAGTGCAATTTCTGCATTTCTTTCCTCCATCCTTTGGAATTTCTTAGTCGCCACCTGCCCTACAAACTACGAGTTGTGAAAGAAAAGGTTGTCATGTGTGAACCAACGCTTAGTTTTAAGTGACCTAACGTAAGCCACAGTGAAATTCAGTGTGCCTGCTCTTCTCAAAAATGTTGTGTATGCTGTAAGTGATGTTACTGCGAACCAAAGTAAGTACATGCGTGAGGAACTGAGTTTATTTACCCATAACGTCTCTCTTAACGTCTGTCTATTTACACGTGAACTAGTCTCTCCCTTTTTATACAAAATCCATCGAATATGTGAAGGGTATTATATGTTCGGTGCAACCTAAATTCTTGTCTTGTTTGCATTCAATATTTCATTTAACTGCGTCAAACTTTGGTTGCTGCTTACCGTGACATTTAATATTCATTTTCATTAAAAGAGTATGTAAGTATAAGTCAACATTGCATATTGCATATTTTAATATATTTCTTATGCGTTTTTTCAGGAAAAATTGAAAAAAAATTTCAAACCATTTTTAAGTTGTACTCAGAGTAAACATGGCAATCATAGTATAGCCCAAGAATTAAATCCCAAATTTCCGCGTTTAATTAACTCGACGAATACAAGACAAATACAAGACATTGCTCGTGTTGCCTGCTGACCGCAGTTCTATCACATTTCGGCGCAAAATTGCAGAGCAAATATGGAAAATGAGCAAACCGAAAAATATAATTTTGAAAGAACAACTTGCCGTTAACCCCAACAACAAAACCGTAATTTAAAATGAAAATAAAAACAAAAGAGAAGTCCGGCAATGAGCAACAACTCGATACAAAACTGAAAATTCAGCGAATAATTAAACTCACCTGCTGCGTGGAATGGAAAATGAGCGCTGCAAAGCTACACTATACAACACAATTTGTGCGTCTGTGTGTGTGTGTTCTTGCTGCGGACCGTCAGTTGCGCTTGGGAAGTTCTCACTCACTTGTGGAAGGTGGCTTTGGCAAGTTGCCTACGTGCTGGGCCGCCGTAAAAGAGATATAACGGAGTGGCGCCCAAGGCTCCGCACTTGCCACACGTTGGCGTATATGTGTATCGGTGTATGTATGTATGTGTAAGTTTCGTCGTTTGCCAGTTGTTGCACTTGTTAATGATTCACATCCACTTCCTGCATGCGAGACAGCTTAAGCGCCATTCAACCAACTGGACACATACATAAGCAACTGTAAGTACAAAAGCAAAAATATACGGAGCATAAATGCAATGCGATTGAAGTGCTTATTTCATGAATGAGAAATCTGTGTAAAATTCTATGCTAAGCTCTTGTGTGTGCATTGACTTCCAGCTCTTCTACATATTTTAGTGATTTTTTGGCTTCTTTGTGTGTGTGTGTGTGTGTTTTTTTTTTTTTTTTTTT